TAGATAGATAGATAGATAGATAGATAGATAGATAGATAGATAGATAGATAGATAGATACTTTATTGATCCCCAAGGGGAAATTCAAGAAAGTAAAGGAAAGGATGGTTTAATCTCTCCTTTATTACTTTATTGTTCTAAAACAAACACATAAGTTTGTCTCCAGCTGTGCAGCTCAGAGTCCTGAACATCTGTCCTCCGTCCATGCTTTGACTTGTCCAGTTCAAAGACCAAACGGTGCCCCCAAAAGTGGACAAATCAGCCTCATGTTGGAACAAAGTCCACACCACTGAGAATGAGACGTTTTTTACACTGGAAATGTTTCAGAACTCGTTCCGATCGGTTCTCAGCAACTCACCAAAAAGATGATTTCAGAGCTGGACGGAGGGACTACATATCCCACCCGACCTGAATATATCTCCCCAGGGAAGGGGGTGCTGGGGAGGGCTTTGGGGGGAGGGGGGGGTCTGGGTTTCCCTCCTGAAACTGCTGCCCCAGATGAAGCTGAGTGGGAGAAATCTGGCTGTCTTAGCTGGTCCCGTTTTCTGGGCCTGGACCGAGCTCAGCCCCCCACACACACATCCAGAGTCTAAATCAGAGTCTAAAGAGGATCTGAGGGTGTCTGAAAGGGGTTCAGTCTGAAGGTGGGTCAGTCTGAAGGTGGGTCAGTCTGAAGGTTGGTCAGTCTGAAGGTTGGTCAGTCTGAAGGTTGGTCAGTCTGAAGGGGGGTCAGTCTGAAGGTGGGTCAGTCTGAAGGGGGTTCAGTCTGAAGGGGGGTCAGTCTGAAGGTTGGTCAGTCTGAAGGGGGGTCAGTCTGAAGGGGGTTCAGTCTGAAGGTTGGTCAGTCTGAAGGTGGGTCAGTCTGAAGGTTGGTCAGTCTGAAGGTGGGTCAGTCTGAAGGGGGGTCAGTCTGAAGGTGGGTCAGTCTGAAGGTTGGTCAGTCTGAAGGTTGGTCAGTCTGAAGGTGGGTCAGTCTGAAGGTGGTTCAGTCTGAAGGTTGGTCAGTCTGAAGGGGGTTCAGTCTGAAGGGGGTTCAGTCTGAAGGTTGGTCAGTCTGAAGGGGGTTCAGTCTGAATAGGGGTCAGTCTGTGGGCAGCGGGATGCCGACGGCGGTGTGCTTTCCCTCGGCCTTTAGCCGCTCCTGACCGCAGCAGTCCTGCAGGAAGACGGAGGCCAGGTTGCGCAGGCGGGGGCTCTGGGCCTGCTGGAAGCGCAGCATGCAGTGCAGCACGTCCTGCCCGGCCGCCTGCGGCCTGCTGAGGTTCATGAGGGCGGTGATGGCCGACAGAACCGTCTCCTCACGCCGCGACGAGAGGCAGTCGGTCACCAGCCGGACGCCGTCGCTACGGACGATGGCGTCCCGGCATTCAGGGTCCATGCTGAGGTTACACAGCCCCCCTGAGGACAGAGGAAAGAGAGAGCAGAGGGTAGTTAGATCAGACGCCTCAGAGCCGAGGGACTTCTTCTTCTTGGGTTTTAGACTGAAACGGGGCCTCGTCCTCCTCCAGGAGCTTTAGGCTGATTTACATTCAACATAACAGCCGATGAAGCTCCAAGAGGGACGGCGGAGACCAGATAGAGCTGCTAAAAGTCCACAAATAAACCCAAAGACAAACATTTCAATTTAACCTGTCACAATGTGAAGCTGGGTAAAGTGCAAAAGAGCTGCAACCGTAAAGCCAAAGCTCACAGAGGCCAGACTGAAAGTCGCATCACTAAAATCTGCGGATTAAAACGTTCACCATACTCTATACTGGGTACCACAACACCTACATTTGCTCCTTTATAAAAGCAGCTGACTTGTACACCTACATTGATATTTTGTCTTTTTTTGTTATTAGCACTTTATTTTATATTTTGCTCCATAGTCTCATGTTGGTTACTTTAATGTTTCTTATGGTCTGCTAGCATAGTCGGCGAATTTTTCATTTATATTTTTATTTATATGGGGGTTGGTGGTATAGTGGTTAGCATAGCTGCCTTCCAAGCAGTTGACCTGGGTTCGAGCTCCTCTCTACTATGCAAGTCGCTTTGGATGAAAGCGTCTGCCAAATGCATAAACAAACATAACATAAACAAAATGAACAGGGAGGGAGGAGAAGAAGAAACAACTAGCATACGGCTGTTCCTGCAGAACAGCTGTGAGAATGCCAAGCACTGAATGGAGGAAGAAGAAGAAGCCAAAGAAAAGCTGAAAAAGACATAGAACTGAATAGTTGAAGAAGAATGGAGGAAGCTGAAGAAAAAAGGCTGAAGGGAGGAATAATTTGAAAGACTTGAACCGGCAACTTCCGGATCTGTAGTCAAACGCTCTACCACTGAGCTATACATATTTTTTGCTCCATTCATTTCAATGAGAGGAATGAGGCATAAAAAGTTAAATATCTTAAAAAGTTGAAAAGATTTGAACACCAAAAGTCATAGCTGCATAGTGATAGCATAATATTTTGATACCTTATTTGTTTTTTTTTTAATCACTGTTACGTCCCCTGTAGGGGGCGCGGCACTGGGCCTTTTTTTCCCCTCTTCCCGCAACCGCTTTCCCAATGTATTCTTTTTGTTCTGAAGAAAAATTGGTGCGCCCTCCTGTGTGGCTGCCCTCAGTCTTCCCGAACTGGTGTGTCTATGTGTTTTGTTTGTTTGATCTTGGTACGGGCTGTACTGGAAGTCAATTTCTCCTTGGAGATCAATAAAGTAAAGTATATTCAAATAGGCTGAAAGGAGAAGGAGTAGTTGGATGCAGAAAAACGTACGGAATATGGAATAATAAAGAGAAACAGGAAAACAATAGACCCAAACTAGACCCAAAGCACACATGCAAAGAGCAGAAAGAGAAACCAGGTTTCCTTATTGCTGACGGGGCCCCCTAGTGGCTGTGGGGCCTAAGGCCTCCACTCCATTTCCTCACTTTCTACCCAAACGTCTCTGCTTTGAACTCACCCATCCCAAACTCCACGAGGTTCTCGTTCTCCTCCGTTAACATGTCCAGGAAGAGGTCGGGGACCTGCAGCTCCCGCAGGTGCTCCGCGTTCCTGGGGTCGTAGGCAAAGTTGGCCAGGTTAGCCAGGACCTGCTCCTTTGCCTCTGGGGGAGAGAAAAAGCAGCTTTAAAACACAGGCGACCTGATGCCAAGAGTCCAAACTCATCTCAGCCAACACAGGATCAAGAAACAGGGACAGAAACAGGAGCTTTTCCAGCCTCCAGGGGGCGCTTTTTCCAGGGAAGTCTGATTATCAGCTGGACAGGAGCACGTTTCAATCACTCAATCCTTATAAAAATATACATGATTAAAAGCATAGGAAGAAATCTGCACATTAAAAGTACAACAAAGTCATTCATTCCCCAAACCACAGCCCCATGAGTCCCCACACACGGACAGATGTTCCCCCAAAGCCTCCACTGTTTGGAGGGTGTTCCTCCAGAAACATCTGGCTTTACTATCAGAATTAGAAATACTTTAATAATCCCAAAGGGAAATGAATTGAATTAATTAATACTAAATGATTTCCCAGCTCTTCTTTTTCTCCTTCCTGACACTGTACTTCAGCTTAAATTTAATCTAAAACTAAGGAGTAAATAAGAGGCCTCTAGTTTCTTAGGGGGGTCGAGAAGGTTGTTTTTAAAGGGGGAGAAAAGGGGATGAATCACCCACCTTCGCTGTCGGTGTCCTGAAATTCGGTGACCAGAGTTTGTAAATATTCAAACCGGTCGGAAACTTCCTTGGAGCTCATCGTTTAACGCAGGTTCTGTCCAGAACAGCCACAGCTCGAAAAGACACAAAACAGCCTCAAACTGAGCATAGAGCGACTGTTTACAAGCTGGGTCCGTCTCTGAAACCTTTCCGGAAAGCTCGGAAGCTAAATGTTTAGTTCCGTTTAGTATTTTACAAATGTTCTGTATTGTTGTATGTTCAATTTATTTTTTGGGATATATTTCTATTTATAAAGAAACAAATAGCCTGTAAAAAAACTATCCTTGCGGTAAAAAATGGTCACTATCCCTTTAAATTTGCATCCGGAAGCGAATTCGGTGCTGCACCGGAAGTGGAGAGGGACTGCGGGACCAGGAGGAGGCGCGTTTGTGTACTAATGTAAGCAGGGAGAAGGTCAGCTGAACCCGAATGAGTCCGATTCACTTATTTCTGGCGTGAAGCCACCGAAGTGGAAACGAGCCGCAATGAAGCAGCACAAGCTGTCCGCCGCCAAAAGGCTCACCAAGCCGGTTCTGTTCGGGACCCTCATCGTCGGACTGGCCACCGCCTTCTTTAACAGGTGGCTTACGTAAAGCAGCTTTTTTACCTCAGCAAAACATGTCAAGATAAGTCCAAGTGTGGACGAATCATGACCGGGTCTCTTAAAAATGTAGAGGGTTTTTACAGTCATACTAGAGGAAAACAGGAAGGGATGTTTAGTGTTTGATCAGAAATGGCTGATGTAAACATTGTGCAATACAATTTATGTAATTTAAATTGGTATCTCTTAGACAGTTTGGATTCATTTGAATTCAATTTAGTAATTTCTTTTCACGTAATTTTAGTTGGTATTCAGTCAATTTGGAAGTTGCCTAAAACCAATTGATTAACGAGGGGGTGCAAGAGGTGACAGTGTGGAGGAAAAACTCCCTTTGAACAGGTGGAAAAGAGGGGACACAAATCACTGTGACACCAGGGAAGGTTTTCTGAACATTTGACCAGAATTACTGCTAATGCGTGTGTAACAAAGAGCAAAAATTCCTATTTAAACTGCTCTTTTTCATTTGTGTGGACACAACACTGGCTCATCCCTTGAGTTAGGGTTTTTTTTCCTGCCCGATTGAGTCATAGGCGAAAGCAAAGAGGCCTAACAAATTAAAATAACACATTCCTCTGAAAATTCAATTAAAACTGAGATTGTCCAGAATTAAATATTCTCAAAGACGAATGCATCATCCTATTAGTCAAATCTGGGATCCAAAATTGCATTTCCAGTCATTTTTCAAATGAGATCAGAGCATTAAATTAAACTAAATTAAACTAAACTGAACTAATTAAAGTAAACGGGAGGTCCACCAAGGACCACCAAATTAGAATAACGCATTCCCTATAAAAATGCTCAGCCACAAGGAATTAAAGTGAGAGAAAAAGGCAGACAATTTCATAATAAAAGACTCAGAGTCTCCTATAGCTGCAGAACTGGAGGAAGTGTTTGTGTGTGAGTGATGGCTGACGGTTTGGTTTGTGCAGACACATGTTCTTCGAGGACGTGGCCGACCTGAGGGCGCAGGAACGCGCACGAAACGACGCCAAGCGGCAGGAGATCCTGGAGAGGCGGCAGAAGCAGATGGACGAGCTGGCGGAGAAGAAGAAGCAGACGGGGAGCGACTGAACACAGACTCGCTCAGACTCAGACTGTGTATCGAAGGCTTTACGAGGCCTTCCGAGGCTGTTGTGTAACACGCCAAACCGACCGTGCTCTTATCAACACAATATAAACGCATAAAGATCCCCACTGATGGTTTAAAATCATGCAGTTACGCGTCTGACCAGCAGGGGGCGGAAGCGGCCAGAACCTGAAGGACTGCGTCACTTTTTATGTGCAGAGTTGTTGATTTCCACACGTCCCACCGCTTGTTTCTCTACATTTCTGCAAATGAAACAGATTCTTCTGTTGTCAGAGACATTAGGCCCCCGTTTTCTGACCATTAACTGAAGCTTTGCAGGTTTAGGGTGAGAGGAAATGTGTCAAAGGGCTGAAACTGCATGTAAAAGTGTTGCATTTTTTGTCAGAGTGGGACATTAAAGACACTGAAATGTTTCAAATTAATGCAGTAATTTGTCATTTAAGTAGTTCTTTTTTTTTATTTATATTTGAATCCTAACAGATTCCCCAAAACAGTTTAAAATAAATAATATGTTATAATACAGTAATAATTGTAAAAAATAAAAATAAAAATGTTTTAAATTTATTCAAATTTGATTTGACGATTACAAGGCTGTTAAATTTGTTTTTCCTCTTCTTTCAGCAACAAAACGGAACACTGGAAGCGCCTTTTTTTGATTAAAACTGATTTTAAATATTCTGATTTCCCTCAAAGCTTCAGAGCAACTTTAACATTTCTCTTTTGTGGAGAGACACGACACATGGACCCAACACCACAGCGAGCACGAGGGGGGGGGGGCCTGAAGGAGCCTCAGCTCCTCCCACATCCAAGTCGGCCATTTTGATTAGGTCATGTGACTAGCAGCTTTCAGAGGTGGAAACGAAACTTTACTGTCTATATGAAATCAGAAGATAAACAATGTCATAAACCTAAGCCTGACCCTAACCCTAACCCTAACCCTGACCCTAACCCTGACCCTTATCCTAACCCTAACCCTGACCCTAATCCTAACCCTGACCCTAAACCTAATCCTAAAACTAACCCTGACCCTGACCCTAACCCTGACCCTTATCCTAACCCTAACCCTAAACCCCTAACCATAACCCTAAACCCTAACCCTGACCCTAACCCTAACCCTCAGTGTTTGCAAGATTCATTTCACTATTTTTAAAGTAATGTCTATATTGCCATGAAGCAATTAGGATTTTCTTGCCTGGGATCTTCCTATTGGTGACCTAATCAAAATGGCCGACTCGGATGTGGGGGGTTGGATCTCCATCCTTGGCTTCCTTTCCGGGTTCAGGCGGTGAGGGGGGCGCCGGACTCCGGCCGGTTCAGCGACCTGCAGACACAGAAACACGTTAAATAAAGCAAAAAAAGCCACACAGAGGGAAATAAACAACCCACCAGCAGACCCAGACAGAGTTTTAGTCAAAATGCCTCAATGTTTTAGTCCTTTTCTGCTCTATAAAAGTAAATATTTGGAAACTGAGATAAATATTCAAACGTGTTCCGCAGTTTGTAGTTCACTACTCAGTCAGGAGAGTTAAAAAATATAAATGAATTAAATAAAAAAATAAATCTACAAGTGTCAGAGTTTTATTCTTATTATTTTAAATTGTTTGGTCGATCAAATTCAACTCAACTCAACTCAACTCACATTCACACGTACTGTGCAAATTTTGGGTCATTTTTCTGCTCTTTTTGAACCTTATTTTGTTTTTAAATGTCCCTCCTGGTTAAAAATGTGACAGAACGACCCTTTAAAAGTCTTTCTAACGCTTGCTGTAATTTTTCAGAGACAGTTAACAGTTTTCTTCTTAATTTCTGACTCAACAGCGAAGCTCTTTAAAACAACTCTAGCTGCCTTTTGACTGATTTGGCTGCTTAAATTCTATTTTAACTTCCATTAAAGAGACACAACAGCAGCCCTGAAGTGTCACTATTGTCTTTAGATCTTAGACAGGTTTTACCTGCCAATGTTAAACCTCTGTATCTTTAATAAAAATACTTTTAGCTGCTGATTTTAAGGGCCTCAGAGGGATCTATCATACAGTTAAACCTAGTTGGTCTCAGCTCTGGTTTTGACTGCTTATTTAACTAGTTTTAAGTCTAATATGATGTTAAATACGACCCAAGAATAATTACTTCTATGCTTTTCTCCCAAATTTAACCCTCAGCCCAGCTAATGATTATCCAGGTTAAGGGAAACTGGTATTTAAACTAGAGGAATAGCATGATAGTGATTAAAATTACGTGAAAATATGGCCGTTTTGACAACAAAGATCACTTTGTTTAAGTACATTTCTTATAAAAACACCCAAAAATCCCCAATAAAACCACCCTATACAGATTTATCCTTCATTTGCGTTTTAGATTTGCTTCTTTTTTTAAGCTTCTGCCAAAACTTTAATGTCCAAACACAAAAAAAGGGTAAATCTGATCTATTCCTACATAAAAAGGGTTAGATCTATGGCTGTAACACACCACCACCACCATGAATCAGCTTTTTTTTCTAAACTTCTGGTTATTTCTGAGAAGCTCGTTAATAATCAGAGGCAGCATGCATGTTTCGGGTTTTTACCCAAAATTAAAGCCGGGAACGTCACCACCTCAGTCCTGCCGGGACAAAACGCAAACATCACGTGCACGTTTTCCAGAGCAGCCTGTAGGAGCCTCGGTTGGATATCCAACTCCTCCCACATCCAAGTCGGCCATTTTGATTAGGTCATGTGACTAGCAGCTTTATGAGGTGGAAACGAAACTTTACTGTCTATATGAAATCGTAAATATTGATCCTAACCCTGACCCTAACCCTAACCCTGACCCCTAAACCTAACCCTAAACCTAACCCTAATCCTAACCCTGATCCTAAACCTAACCCTGACCCTAA